CATTGACTCCAGACCCAAACTGGAGTTTTCCTGCAAGCTTTGCATTTTCAGATGTGCGAATAACCGATGTGGATAGACCTGGGATAAACTGGGATAAAACTCTGCATGTCTTGACTGTGTTTTGAATATATCTGCATCATTGACTCCAGACCCAAACTGGAGTTTTCCTGCAAGCTTTGCATTTTTGGCTGTATGAATAACCGATGTGGATAGACCTGGGATAAACTCGGATTAAATTCTGGATGTCTATATTTGTTTTGAATACATTCTCATCATCGATTCCGCTCTAAAATGCACTGCAGAAATAATCGAGTTTGAGACCGCTTTAGCTGCCGTGGCTCAATACTAGAGAATCCTGGGATCTATAGTTTGGTGAGACATGTAGTCTTCTCTATCAGAGAGCTTTGGTGCCACAATAAACTACAATTCCTAGCGCTGAGTCAGAGGAGTTAAAGCGGTCTCAAACTGGACTATTTCTGCAGTGTGTTTTGGACCTTCATCTTTATTTGCACTGCTGACGCATGTGAGCAATAGAGATGCACATAGATTCTGACAAATGTGCACAATAAATAAGGGGGTGAATGAGTGAGATTTTTCACATTGTCGTGTTGCAAAACAAAACGTGTGATAACCCCTCAGCTTCTCAGGCAGGCTGAACTGATCACTTGTGTAAACAAACAGCCACAAGGGAACCCAAGATTGCAAGTTGCCAGCCTCCAATTTGAATAAAAGCCAGTGAAAACTTGTATCACCAGAGAAGCGAAGCCCAGCAAAGATGGGCAAAATTCAATAGAAAATATACATACATCATCAAGTTAATGAGGATCTGGGCTGTGATCAGGATTATTTTTGTTATTATTGTGTGCTTTGTAGTTGTTACCAACGTATGGCAACCCAAAGGCAACCCTATCAAGATTTGTTCAGAAGGGTTTTTTCCATTGCCTTTCTCTGAGGCTGAGAGAGTGTGACTTGCCCAAGTTTACCCAGTGGGTTATTATAGCAAAGCAGGGATTTGAACCGTGACCTACCAGAGTCTTGTTCCAACATTCAAACCACAATACCACACTGGATCTTTTTGGTATCTATCAGGATTTGTCATTGTTGTGTGCCTTCAAGTAACTTCCTGGCACTAATTCCACTTCTTAGGCTGCTGCCACACTGCGGAATTAGCACAGATTGACACCACTTTAACTGCCATGGTTCAATGCAATGGAATCTTCAGATCTGTAGTTTGTCGTAGCACCAGAACTTTCTGACAGAGAAGAGTGGATATCTCCCAAAACTACAAATCCCAGATGAGTGGGAAACTACAAATCCCGAATGAGCGATAAGATGCCATTTTGAAACCGACCTGTTTAAATGACACCTGTGACCAACACGGGACAAAGCCATGCTCCCGGGGCTAAACCCCAGAGCAAAATAATCCTCCATGACACTATGGGGCTGCCCACATGAGTGACAGCTCTCTGACAGAGAAGGCTAGATATCGCACAAAACTACAGATCCCTGAATTCCATAGTATTGAGCTGAGGCAGTTAAAGCGGTATCAAACTGCATTAATTCTGCTGTGTAGATGCTCCCTAATGCACCCATCCTGTTTAGTAATTGTTTGTATTGCTAAAATGGATCACCAGGGGGCAGCAGAGTTACACAGAGTTACAGAGAGTTAGCCTGACTTGGAAGCCTTCACCAGCAGCAGTTCACTTTTGCAACATATTGCATTACATTGCATTGCATCCTCCACTCCTAACCCCACTGTTCTATCCATTTTCTTTTTAAAATTTTGAAACAGTTCCTAGGCTGTCCACTTCTTAGACTGCCGCCATGCCACGCTGCAGTGTTAACGCAGTTTGATGCCGCTTTAACTGCCACGGCTCCATTTTATCATATATTATTTTAATTAGCGATTTGTGTGGCATAATGAGCCATTGTGGTGTAGTGGTCTGAGCACTGGACTATGGACAAGACCAAGGTTGAAATCCCGGCTCAGCCATGCCAACCCACTGGGTGACCTTGGGCAGGTCACACACTCTCAGCCTCCTGGGAAGGGAATGGCGATCCCCCTCTGAAGAAACCTGCCAAAAAAAAAAAACCATCATAGGGTCGCCATAAGTCAGAAACAACTTGAAGGCACACAACAACAACATAGTATAATAATATAATATAATATAGTATAATATAGTATAATATAATAGTAAATTATGCAAAAGATTGGCATTTCTGATTATAAGTTGAATTCCTCATCAGGGGAAATCAATCATTAGCAGCATTCGGTGTACAGACAATTATTGGTAGATTTAATTGACTATTAACAGTTCTTCCCATTTTATTCATTCATGATTCAGAGCTTCCCATGAAGGCCTTCCCGTAAAGGCATATATATATATATAT